CTTTCAATTAAGAAGGATTACTTATAGTGCGTGACCGATCTCATGTAATGTTGGCCGAAATTCTGAAAAGCGTTCCCAATTAGGAAGGATTACTTAGACACGGTTGCGGTACTGAGTAGTTTGCGGCATAGTAATATAATATTTCGAACTCGGCAGGATCTTGACTTTTGAAAGCACTTCTTTTCGACCTCCTGTAGAATCCATACTCAGTAAAGAATGACTACTTACGTGGCTCGCATTTTTCACATTGATTTTCGATGGTCTTATAAATTCAAATATATTTCGTAAAAAACATGGGCAAAAATGCTTTCTTTTACTCATTCGATAGATAATCACGTTGTCTATGTATTGTATACTTGAAGAAGGAGTATAATGAGGTTTTAAAAAAGTTTTCTGATTCCGAATCATTTGGGGCTTGATCAACCGTTGCATTAGCGCTTAATGATTTCAGTCTACGATGCGCATGCGTTCCGTGTTTGCAAAACCATACACTCCTTTATGCCTTTAAAAAGATAGCACATAAACTCCATAACATTTTACAATGGGAACGAGCAATGTTGTGCATTTTATGAGGAGCAGGGCTAAACGCACAGGTTCGATGCTGTGTGAATGAACATTGCACGGTCTTAAAAAATCCCATAATTAGAAACTTTTTTGAAGCCTAATTATGCTCCTTCTTCAAGAATACAATACATAGACAACGTGATTATCTATCGAACGAGTAAAAGAAAGCATTTTTGCCCATGTTTTTTACGAAATATATTTGAATTTATAAGACCATCGAAAATCAATGTGAAAAATGCGTGCCACGTAAGTAGTCATTCTTTGCTGGGCATAGATTCTACAGGAGGTCGAAAAGAAGTGCATTCAAAAGTCAAGATCCTGCCGAGTTCGAAATATTATAGGATTATACCGCAAGCTAATCAGTTCTACAACCGTGTCTAAATAATCCTTCCTAATTGGGAACGCTTTTCAGAATTCCGGCCAACATTTCACGAGATTGGTCACGCACTGTAAGTGTATTTGTGATTTGAATAATCAGGCAGCATAACCCCATGATAAATAGCTTAATTCTTATTGACCAAACTGTGAAGAACTCGACTCCTCAGTGGGATTCGAACCGGTGACAGCAAGTGGAAGGCATTAGTACAGCCAACGTCCTAACCACTTGAATCAAATGTAACTAAACTCACGTCTCCCGGTGGGGCCTTGTAGCTCAGATGGCTAGAGCGTTAGCTGTACTAAAGCCTTCCCCCTGCTGTCGTGAGTTCGAATTCCACCGAAGCGCCGAGTTTTTCACATTTGGGTCAATGAAAATAATACCAAGATATTTCGGCCATGATGGGATTGCGGCTCCTGGATGTACTTCCTTACGGTTGCCTGCAAAAATCGCGCTCGGCAAAAATTATGTATGCAGTTTGAACCTACCCGTTTATTTTGATGCGCTTATAAATTTAAATACATTTTATAAAAAAGAGAGTTGGACATGCCTCTGCATATTCACTTGATAGAGAGTCACGACTTCTTAAATTTTGAACTCGAATAAAATATATACTTGACTTTCAAAAAAGTTGTCGACTCCCGAAAAATGGTGCGTCTGTCTACCGTTACATACATGTCTATGTAGCCGTATACTTTCCACATTAGGAAAATCACAAATCCCCTTGTGCCATTAAGAGGATAAAGTGTAGAGTGCGTTACTTAATTCATAAAATGAGTCCTAATTTACGAATGATTGCTAATGGCTCGCAAACCGACATCAACGCGTGGGTCCAATATCTCTGTTAATATATAACAACTTTGTGAGAATTAAAAACAATAGAAATCTTAAAGACAATCTTTCATTGTCAAAAATACCAATTTTTTAGAAAAGCAGAAAATCCTGGAAACGTTAAAGTGGTTGTATTTGTGCAGACTTCCGATTTTTTATGATCAGGAGACCTGCCCATTCTCAACACTGAGTAAATACGAAATCATAAATAGAATAATCTGCGAAAATAATATTTACTGAAGTTTGCATTTTTATACCCCTTACGAATTAGCGTAATTTCAGGTGTGGCGGTTTCCCAACAACGTACATTCTAAATATAGACTGCAAAACGGTTTCCCGAGGATTCGTTGTCTTCTTTACGCTCTTGAATTGATTGAACTGTGGCTGAATAAGGCAGACAGGATTTTGCTTGATGTTTCCGATGAGGATGTCATAGGAACAAAAGTTTTCTCCAGGTCATATGCTGTCAGTGGGAGGTATAATCGTAAACGTAGTATTTTGAGCATATAAGTAAAGCTTTTCCTCCGTTAAATTAATTTGTACCTTTCACATAGTCTGGGTTACGTTGCGTTTCAGACCGACCTTGAAATATCGCTGAATACTTCATGATTTTCAGTGTTTTTATTCGATTGCTTATACAGACGGATTCTGTATTGTGTGTTTGTTAAAACCTTTAAAATAATACGTTTCTTGAAGGAATTTGCCGAAGTAGCGAGTGTTTGGACATCCCTTTTCATGTAGAAGGTTGTTTAGGTCACACTTGAAGACCGACCCAAACATGAAACTCCATCGTTGAATAAAATGAACGCCTACAACAAAAGTCACCGACGAATATGATTTCGTTCAATTAAGAACGTTCTTTTATAAGTTGCCGTTTTAAGGAGTGCTCCAATGAAGCGATGAAGCCAAGAAACGGAGGACACTTTTGGCCGTTTCTTTCACGTTGCTATAAAATAGTGACGTTTTTCTACCAAAAACGTAAGAACTTGCCTTTCCATTCTCGCCGTCTTTGCTCACTTTTAGGCTACGTCTTACGACTATGAATGCACGTCGATGTCGACTTCATCGGAACAGAAGTTTTCTCAAGGGCACACGTTGCCAGGCGGCTCAGTGGAGAGTAAATGTTAATAAAATTGACATATGTAATATTAAGCATACCACTTTGTGTATATAACGCGAACTTTTCGTCCGTAAAATTAATTTGTACGTTTCCTTTAGTTTTGATTAGGCTGAGTTTCATATCGGCTGTAAAATATCGCTGAATACTTCATGATTTTCAGGGTTCCCAATCGACTGCCCATAAAGACAGGTTATGCTTTCTGTGTTTGTTAAACCATTTAAAATAAGATATTTCTTTAAAGCCTTTACCAAAGTACTGAGTGTTTGGTCGTGATTTTTCACGTCGAAGGTCGTTTTGGGTTATATGTGAATACTCATCCAAACACAAAACCTCATCGTCGGAAAAAATTGACTTCCACTGCAAAAGTCACCGACGAACAGGATTTCGGCCAATCGTTAAAATTTCACTAATAAATTGCTTTTTTAAAGTGTGCTTTAATACTGCATCTCGTAGGCGGATTTCTCTGTGTTCTGCACTTCTCCACGGTGAAGTCATGAACGCATGTTTCACGCATGCCTGCTTTTGAAGGCAGGGTTTTGATCACCACGCTGACCAACTTAAGCCAACTCAGCAATGACCTACTTCACAGTATGATCTACTTTCTGAATAGATTCACGTCGTGCAAGCAAAACCCAAGATACTGACTCCGCCTCAGCGCTCCAGGCAAGATATCGAAGTCATAGAGTGAACTTTAGTCAGAAATGTGCGACAGCTGTTATACACGGCAGATCGCAAAACAGAGACGGTGTGTGTGTGTGTGTGTATGTGTTTATGTGTGTTCAGTTGAAGACCGTGGTCATTTCAAACTGTGCTTTGGAGGCGACCGAAGGCTTGACTGGCTTTCGAGATTCTGTTGGCGACTTCGTCGTCGATCTTGGTGTTACGGGAAAGAGTACTGCCCAGGTACGGGAAGTTCTCCACAACTTGCAGTTGGGTTCCGTTCACGCTGATTTGCGGCGGTGCGTCGGGGGTTGTGGCTGAGTTGGGCGGCGGTTGGTGCATCACCACCGTCTTCTGCGTGTTAATGACCAGACCGAAATTCTCGCAGGCGGCGGAGAATAGGTCAATGCTCCGTTGCATCTCCTCTTCCGAGGTGGTGTTCAGGGCGCAGTCATAGGCGAAGAGAAGGTCATGAACGGTGGTTGTGGATACGCGCGACTGGAAGTGCATCAGCCGTTGATTCAGGAGGTGACCGTCCGTCCTGTAGGCGATGCGGATCCCGGGACGTTCGTCGCGGTAGGCGTCCATCAGCATGGCAGAGAACATAAGCCTGAAGAGGGTTGGTGCCAGCACGCATACCTGCTTCACTCCGTTGGTCACTGCGAATGCCTCTGAGACAGCTCCGTTGACTGTGACTCGCGCAATCATACCGTCGTGCAGCTGACGCACCATCTGAGTGAATCGCTCCGGACAGCCGAATTTCTGCATGATCTTCCACAGTCCCTCACGATTCACCGTGTCGAAGGCTTTCGTCAGGTCCACGAAGGTAGAGTAAAGGTGGGTCCGTATCTCCTGGCACTTCTCCTGAAGTTGGCGTGCTGCGAAGATCATATCCATGGTCCCACGATGACGACGGAAGCCGCATTGGCTTTCCGGCAGAAGGCCCTGTTCGAGACGGTTATTGAGACGTCTGAGGAGGATTCGTACGAAGATCTTCCCGGTGATGTTCAGCAAGGAGATGCCGCGGTGATTGTCGCAGACTTGGCGATTCCCTTTACGCTTGTAGAGATGCACGATGGTTGTGTCCTTGAAATCTTGCGGGACTTTGCCTTGATACCACATCTACTGGAAGAGCGCAGTCAGGTGATCCATGAGTTGGGGACCTCCGTGCTTGTAGACCTCAGCAGGGATTGCGTCCGATCCGGGTGCTTTCCCGCTGGAGAGCTGCTGCACGGCCCTGATGGTTTCCTGGAGAGATGGCGGGAAATCGAGGTCCGCGTTCGTCTCCACTTGCGGCAAACGCTCGATGGCGGCCTCGGAGATGACGAAAGGGCGGTTGAGGACGCCTCGGAAATGCTCGGCCCATCGCTGTAGCATTTGTGTCTTCTCAGTCAGGAGAGTGCTACCGTCGGCGCTGAGGAGAAGAGCAGTGCCCTTCGTCGGCGGACCTTAGACAGCTTTGATTGCAGAGAAGAAGTTCTTCCATTCGTTGCGGTCCGCGTAGCCTTGGATCTCCTCAGCTTTGCGAGCAGTCCAGGCGTCCTGCATCTTGCGCAGTCGTTGCTGAAGTTGGCGGCGACTGCGGTAGAAGGCAGCTTTGGTGGCATCAGTGGGGTGATCTACGTAGGCTTTGTGTAGGCGGTTCTTCTCAGCAAGCAGATTTCGGATGGCGGCGTCGTTGTCGTCGAACCAGTCCTGATGTTGGCGGGAAGCGCGACCGAGGACGGCGAGTGCCGTCGACTAGACCGTGTCTCGCAGTTGACACCAGCGGTTCTACACGGAGGCGTTCTCGGCAGCGGCGGCGTCGTCTGCGGCGGCAGCGATAGGAAGGTTGTCTAGCCGTTGAGCTAGCTCATTGCTGAAATGAAGGTGGTGAACGGGCAAAGACAACAAGGCAACATTCAGCTTACCTGGGGGTCGCTTACCTTGTGGTCTCCTGCGAGGCTGTAGGCGAATACGCATCTTCGAGATGACGAGGCGATGGTCGGTCCACCCATCAGCACCCGCGATCGTCTTCGTCACCAGCACGTCCCGCTGATCTCGCCTCGAGACGAGGACGTAGTCCATCAGGTGCCACTGGCGCGACCGAGGATGCCTCCAGGTGGCCTTCTCTCGCTCCGGCAGACAGAAGAACGTGTTCGTCAGGATGAGGCGGTGTTCTGCGCAGGTGCGGAGAAGCAGCAGGCCGTTGTCGTTTGAGCCGCGGAGACCGTGGGGACCCAGCACTCCCCTCCAGGCAGTATGGTCTGTACCGACGCGGGCGTTGAAGTCACCAAGGACAATCAACTTGTCCGCCTTCGACACAGTCGCCAAGAGGGCGTGCAGGTCCTCGTAGAATTTGTCCCTTGCGGCGGCGTCGGGGCTGGTCATCGGCGGAGCGAAGGCGCTGATGATGATGGCTAATTTGCCCCCACTCCTGTGGAGAGGCAGACGGAAACTCATCAGGCGATCGTTGATGCCCTGCGGCAAACAGGGCAGTCGTCCCAAGATATCGTTCCGGATGGCGAGGGCGACGCCCGCGTCTCGTCGCTCTGCCCTGGGTCGACCACTCCAGAAGAAGGTGTAGCCGGCACCCACCTCCTCCAGTTGGCCTTTTTCGGAGAATCGAGTCTCGCTGAGTGCGGCGATGTCCACCTTGTAGCGTGCCAGTTCCCGGGCCACTAGCGCCGTCCTCCGTTCCGGTCGGTTGCTCCTCGGATTGTCTAAAAGGGAACGAACATTCCAGGCTGCCAGAGTGAGCGGACTCACCCTGTCAGTCTGTTGAAAACGAGTGGGGCGACGGGAAGGAGGTGGAGAAGATGACGAAGGAGATGTGTGTGCAGAAGAATAGGCAGAGGAGGAGTTAGAAGAGGTATGATGAGGAGAATGATTATGTTTGTTGTTGTTATTGGTCTTGTTTTTGTTTCGATTTTAAGTGTTTCGACCGTGATTAGACCTGTGCTGCCCTGGCTAGCCTGAAGACGGCCTGGTACCCAGCATTTTTTAGGCCAACTTTTTTACGCCCTTCCCCTCGTTCGGGCAGGCAGTGCCACCTCTGAATCGGGCTGCCATGTGCCTGGTTTACGCGACCGAATCCCACTATGGGGCCACGACTTTTATGTTTGTATTGGAGAACGACCGCATATGCTGTGAGTCCGCGGTCTCCGTCGGCGAGGGTGGGCGCGTCTCAGCGAATGCGATGCGGAGACCCGTCCCGGCAGCAGTTGTCCAACGGCGTACCAGGCAGAGCCTCGTCTCGACGATGCCGGCGCAGTTTTTCATCCGACCATCCATCCAGCGGAGTCCGCAGTACACTGTGCACGCGGCACAAGCGCACACCTGGTTTAGCCCGCCGGTCGAGATGGTTGTCCGGGGTGTGGCCGCTGCGCAGAGCCCAACTTCGTAGAGCCACAGGTGAGAGTTGGGTGCAAGCAAATGGACGCTAGGCGTAGTCTCACCTGCAAGCATGTGAGCGACCACTACGACCATCACGTGAACCCACCGCTGGACACCCCTACGCCCCGGAAACACGCACCTAGACCTACCACCACACACCCTAGAGGAATGTTCACAAATAATAAAGGGAACCAGCTCGGATCCCATTGGGCGGGATTGCCACAGAGGCCACGTTGAGAAGGAAAAATTGCAGCCTGACTCGGTCGGTCACCCCACACAAACACACACACACTCGGTTGACTGCGAGGTTCGACTTATCCCGCCAGTTGGCAACCTTCCATGCCACGGCTTTTAGCGCACCGTGATAGGTTCAAGCGCGTCAGGTAGCATGTATCGAGGAATATGCCCTGAGACCGTCGAATCCACTCTCGCTTTCCACTCTCAAGAGCCAGTCCAGTGTGTAATCTGATCAGGTGACTGATGCTACATCTTTGCCTTTTTTCAGTACTCCTCATATATGTATACAGTTGTCCAGGATCGCGATCGATGAGCGCTATTTGCCACAGTTAATACACTCAATCGCAACCTACAGGACAAAAAGTCGGTAGCCCGATGGCTAGAGTGTCGGACTTCTAACCAACAGAACGGAAGTTTGCACCGTAGAGGCTGAAAACGTGGAGTTAGGTATGGCTGGCTGATGAAAACTAATGAGTCAGAAGTGGCCACCCCAGTCTCCCTTGTCTGTGCTGGAAGTATCCTTCTGCCGCCGATCAAGTTACGGAACATGCTCGTTCCGTTGTGCCTTGGGGCTCATACTAGAACCCTCGCAGGCAGTCGCACAGCGACTAGTAGTAGACACAGATGAGATGGAGCCGACAAAGACAAGGGAGACCGGAATGGCCATTTCTGGCTTATTAGCCGTCATCAGCCAGTCATACCCAACCCCAAGTGTGGATCACTCAATGGTAGAGCGTCAAACTCCATGACCAAAGGTCTCGGGTTCGAATCTCAAGTGATCCACATTTGGGGTTGGGTATGACTGGCTGATGACGGATAATAAGCCAGAAATGGCCATTCCGGTCTCCCTTGTCTTTGTCGGCTCCATCTCACATATATATATATATATGTACAGATATATAGTTTAAACGCAAGCATCCCATAAAATGTGAGTTGAATTGAGACACGTTTTACGGGAAAAGTAGGAAATTTATGGACAAAAGTTCGAGACTGATTCACAAGGTTGCCGTCAGGCATTGAGTAAATGTGCTAAAACCAGTTAAAATGGTCAAACGTGCAAGTAAAAATCTGACAATTTTTTCGGTGTTTGTGCCATTTAACGGCCACCGTGTGTTTCAGGATCTATCGCTTGATTCTCGCCTTTTGCATTTTCCCTCGAGATTTTTGAACATCACATCTAAATCAATACGCCTATTGATGCATTATTCATCTGAGGTAATGGCTTCGGGGAAATCGCGACCCCTTTGGTAGGACAAACGCTACTTATACGAGTTTCACTGCATGCCAAGTCTTGCCACCTACAATAGATGTGCTAAATCATGAAATTTTAACCGATATTCTGCAATACGTTTTCGACTCGAAGATATTGCTTAAGCAGGGTTGTCATATTAACCACCATGTAGCATAAACCATTGATAACGCAATTACTACAGGATGCCACCTTCTGAACGAAATCATGCCTAGTTAGCATGAATTTTTCTCATTGCTTTTCGATGCCCCTATAAATCCCAAATATATTTCATAGAAAACATGCATGAAAACATTCATTATTCTACTCATCTGGTAGAAAATTACGTCTGTTTCCAATTTTCTAATTGAAGGAATGGCATGATTCATGTTTAAAAACTTTTCCAAATCCCGAATAATTTTGAACCCGACTTGCCGTTTCACTTGCATTCAGGGTTTCCAAACTACAAGCCATATAATTACCGCGTGCGTATGGTATTAAGAGAAGACCATATGGGGTTCATAAAATTTAGCAGTGGATTTGAGCCACATTGTAAACTTTACATGCCACATTAGTAAATGTATGAACACGACGTTTCATGAACGGGCATTTCACGGTATTAAAAAATCTCACAATTAGAAACTTCTTTTAAACCGAATTATATCCTACTTATGAGTATAAAATTGGAAGAGACCTGATTTTCTACCAAGTGAGTAAAAGAGTGTTTACTTTTATGCATGTTTTCCGTGAAATATATTCGAATTTACAGCGACATCGAAAATCAATGAGAAAAATTCATGTAACTTAGATAGTAACTTTTTACAGTGTGGTTTTGCATGCAGCCGGAGCGTAGTTCGTTCGAAAGCCGGCATTCCGAGGTAACTGAATTATCATTGAATTATGCTGCGCGATGATGCACTTTTCAATCCTACTTAAGCAATCTTATTGAAACGAAAGCGCATTGCTGAATTTCGGCTATTATTTAATGAGTCATCACACCTACTGTGCTTGCGAGATCCGGATAATAGTATATGGATTATTCATGCATAAGTGGCAATAGGGACATCCAAGTGGCAGGAGTGGTTTCTCCCATTGGCTAAATGTCTACCTTCTATCATCAGAAATATTCTAAAGTAGTTAGCGGCTGAACTACACAAAGAGGGTAATCAACTGCCTCAGACAGCACCTAATTTAGCCAAAATTGCTGTGGGATGCAGGGCAAACGGCGTAAGTAGGGGTTGTCTGACTTTGGAAGAAGCCAGAGTCCTTTTGTTGACTGGCGTGTGTTTGGAGACGTAGATATTCGTGGCCTTATGATTTGCCCTGGCTATAAGTCCGTCTGTCTGTCGGGTCGGCGCAGAAGTGGCGTCGCACCTTAGGATGAATTCTCGCCACCCCAGGAGAGTAGACAGACTCAAGCTCCCAGGCCGACGACGGAGAAAGTCGAGGGTTTCAGTTAGTTATCAGACGTATTCGATGAATGGAACTCAACCATAACCAATTCGAAATTTCAGGTTGACAGTCATAGCGGTGTGACTGGCGTCTGCACAGACTATCATCTTGAGAGAGGTCTATAATTTGAAGCATTTTATCCCCGGTACGATGTCGAAGTAGGCAAGCAGGGCAGGATTTAATGATACCAAAAAATGTCTCGACGGCTCGTCAGCTGCGTCCTGTCGCTTCAAAACATTGACAACGAGTGGGAAGTATACAACAGATTTGAATTGGTGCAGAAAATCAATGCTGGTCATGATTTTGGGTAAGCTGACTAATCGATAAAGTTAGTACCTCAAACACCGTAGGGGAAGAATGGTGAAAAAGGAGGAGCGTTAACGAGCAAAAAAGTGAGAGGAGAAGAAAAAATCATGGAGCTAGAGGCTGTCATGGCAATGCTAGCTTAACCACGTGTTCCAACTGCTTACAAAGATCTGGAATTCGTGCAAAAAATAAATACAGAAACAGCAAGATCATGATTTTGAGTAAAGTTGGCTAATCGATATAGTAACTTAACACCGTATGGGTCACTCCATCGACCCCAAAACTTCCTTCCGAGTACTTGTTCGGGCACGAACAACTCGGGCATTGCGTTACCTAGAGGCAGCCTATATACGACGGGTGAAACCAAATTTTTGTTAACAGTTGGAACACGTGGCTAGCCTAACATTACCATGGTAGCCTCTATCTCCATGATTTTTTCTTCCCCTCTCACTTTTTTCTCGTTAACGCTCCCCTTTTTCACCATTCTTCCCCTACGGTGTTTGAGTTACTAACTTTATCGGTTAGCCGGCTTACCCAAAATCATGACCTTGCTTCTTCGGCATTGATTTTCTGCACGAATTTAAATCTGTTGTATTCTCCCAACTCGTCTTCTATGTTATGAAGCAACAGGACGCAGCTGACGAGCCGTCTCGAAATTTTTTGGTACCATTAAGTCCTACCCTGTTTGTCTACTTCAGTGAGGTCTATAACACTAAGTGTTTGAATCTCTAATTTTGTCCACACTCGACATCCCAGGAGAGTTGACAGGCTCAAGCTCCCAGGTCGACGACAGAGAACGCCGCGGGTTGCAGTTGGACACCAGACTATTTTCATAGTTAGAAACGTTTTCTAAACCGTACTGTACCCCTCTTTCATGCATAGAATTGGAAGAAGACTACAGTTTCTACCAAATGAGTAGATGAATGAATGTTTTCATGCATGTTTTCTATGAAATATATTTGGATTTATAGGGACATCGAAAATCAATATGAAAAATTCATGATACATATGCAGTCACTTCTACAGAATGTAGTTTTTACAAGCAGTCGGAACGGAGTTCGTTCAAAATGTGGCATCCTGTAGTAATTGCGTTATCAATGGATTATGCTACATGGTGGTTAATATTACAACGCTACTTAAGTAATTTTTCCAGGCAACACAATCTTCTGAACATTTGTGAATGATATACAGTGCGTGACCTATCTCATGAAATGTTGGCGAAAAATTTGAAATGCGTTTTCGATTAAGAAGGATTACTTGGTCGCGGCTGTGATACTGATTATCATAAGGCATACTCTTATAAGATTTTGGACTTGGCAGGATGTCGGCTTTTAAATACACTTCTTTTCAATCTCGTGTAGAAATAGTACTCGGTAAAACATGACTGCTTAAGTATCATGCATTTTTCCCATTGATTTTCGATGGTCTTGGAAATTCAAATATATTTTATACAAACCACAAACAAAAATGTGCTTTCTTTTAGTCAATCAATAGAGAATCACGTTTTCTTTATATTTTATACTTAAGGAAGGAGTATAATTAGGTTTTAAAAAAGTTTTCTAATTGCCGAAAAATTTGGAGCCTGATCATTCGTTGCATTAGCGCTTAGTGATTACACTCTACAAGGTGCATGCCTTCCGCGTAAAGAAAATCCCATATTTTTCTATGTCATTAAAGAGATATCATACAGGGTCCATAAAATTTTGCAATGGATGTGGAGCATGTTGTACATTTCATGAGGAGCAGTGGTAAACCGCCAGGTACGATGCTATGTGAATGGACATATCGCGGTCTTAAAAAGTTTCATAATTAGAAACTTTTTTAAAACCTAATTATACTCCTTCTTTAAGTATAAAATATAAAGAAAACGTGATTCTCTATTGATTGACTAAAAGAAAGCACATTTTTGTTTGTGGTTTCTATAAAATATATTTGAATTTCCAAGACCATCGAAAATCAATGGGAAAAATGCATGATACTTAAGCAGTCATGTTTTACCGAGTACTATTTCTACACGAGATTGAAAAGAAGTGCACTTAAAAGCCCACATCCTGCCGAGTCCAAAATGTTATAAGAGTATGCCTTATGATAATCAGTATCACAACCGCGACCAAGTACTCCTTCCTAATCGAAAACGCATTTCAGAATTTCAGTCAACATTTCATGAGATGGGTCACGCACTGTAGGTGCTGATGCCCTGACTTTGAATTCAGACGGGGGAAACACCTCATGGAGACTTAGACACATACAGTAGGTGAGCTAACCCATGGAGTGTTAGCCGAAATTCCGAAATGCGGTTTTGTTTCGAAAAGAATAATTAAGAAGTGTTGTAAAACTGATCACCATGCAGCATAATTATACAATAATTCAGTTACATCAGGATGTCGACTTTCGTACATACTTCTTTCCTTCAGCATGCAAAAACTACACTCTGCTAAAGATGACTACTTATGTAGCATTCATTAACTTCATTTCCGATGCCCTTAAGCATTCAACTACATTTAATGAAAAATATGCATAAGCATATTCATTCTTTTACTCATTCGTTAAAAAATGACGTCTTCTTTCAGTTTTCCACTCAAAGGAAGGACATAATTCGGCTCTAAAAATTTCGAATTGTGAGATTTGCTAATACCGTAAATTTAACAAGACTGCTCAAATTCAGTGGTGAATTTCATGAACTCCATATGTTCTTCTTTTAATATCCTAGAGAAATGCATGATTTTCCTTACGGAGAAAATATACGGCCTGTAGTTTGGGAACGCTGAATGTAAGTGTAATGGAAGTTCGAGTTCAAAGTTAATCGAGAATTACAAACGTTTTTTAAAACCAAATTATACCCATCCTTCGAGGATAAAATTGGAAGAAGACGTCATTTTTTACCGAATGAGTAAGAGAATGAATATGTTTATGAATGTTTTCCATTAAATATAATTGAATTATTAAGGGCATCGAAAATCAATGAGGGAATGCATGCTACATAAGAAGTCATTTTTTTACAGGGTATAGTTTTTGCATGCAGCCGGAAGGGAGTTCTTTCGAAAGCCGGCTTCCTATGGTGACTGAATTATTATAGAATTATGCTGCATGATGATCTGATTGCAACTCTACTTAACTAATCTTTTCGAAACGAAAACGCATTTCGGAATTTCGGTTGACATTTCATGAGTTAGCCCACCTACTGTACTTTGAATGGTTCAGAAATATTTGCGCCAACCCCTAACCCTAACCCCTGACTATTGCCCCTAATCCTGAACCCTGACCCCTAACCCTAACATTTAACCCTAACCCCTGACCCTAACACTAACCCTTAACCCCAACCCCAACGATATAGTTTTCATCAGGTGGGACTGCCGAACTACATCTTAACCAATTCGCGAACTATCAGAACGCCATTATAAGTTTTTCGAAACTGGCAAACGTTTAGATCCCAATAATTACTGATACTTAATCGCGCAGAATTTGTGTTATTCAGCACTGTCTTCCGGGGGGATTTACAAACAACTGATATCCTTCTTGTGTTATGGAGTATTCGAAGACTTTTTTGACAAGATGTTGTTTGTTCTGTTTACTAGAAGCAGCACAGCCTGACTGCGTGTACCGTTGTTATTCATTAGCCTCCAAAGGCCCCTTTGTCTGCTTCCCCGCCATATTTCGGTCGGAATTGGTTATGCAGCCGCACCTGAGGTAAACAAAGGTCAGCCACCGACAATACGGGACCGGTGGTGGGGTCGGGGAACGCAGAGTGGACGAAGTTAAGTAATGGAATTCAAAAGAAAAAGCTATTGTGAAGGCGCGGTTGTACTTTGAATCGTTGAGAAAGTGTTGCGCCAACCCCTAACTATAGCTCCTAGTTCTGAACCCTGACCCCTAACTCTAGCATTTAACCCTAACCCCTGACCCTATCCCTAACCGTTAACCTCAACTCCAACAGTATTGTGTCCATCAGGTGGGGCTACCAAACCACATCTTACCCAATTTTTGAACTGTCAGAACGCCTTTATAAGTGAAGGCGAAATTTCGAGTTTCAGGTGTATGCATAAGTGAAGAAGAAGAGTCGAGCACCGGAGCACTTTGTTTATTGTCCTGAGCTTTCAGACTCGTGCAGGTGTCCATCGTCAGAGGTAGTAGCAGCAACAGAACGAGCGACGGTTATAAGGCATGTAGGCCAATCATCGACCGACGGCGCAAGGGCGTTTCAGAAGCGACTGAGCGCATTGCTGCGGAGCTAGGTGTTGGAATTGCTCACCGCTCCAAAGCCACCATGCGCAATAGGGTCATGAAAATCAAAGACCGGTTAAACCCTGATGAGCAATCTGCAGTAGTGTATCGCATTCCGTGTCAAAATTGTCCTTGTAACTACACAGGACAGATTGGACGCATGCTCGGATCGTGCATAAACGAACATAAGCTGGCTGTGCGACGAGGCGACGCATTATCACAAGTAGCCGCCCAAGCCTACGAAACGGGTCATGAGCTTAAATTCGCATCCACCACAATAGTCGCTTACGCCGGAAACAAAGCAGGCCGAGAATTGATTGAGGCCTGCGCCTCGGATGAGAACTCGGTTAGTCGACTTATCGATTTGGTGCCGACGTACAGAGCCCTGCGTAGTCACCTCCAGTCTTGCGCCGTCAGTTGATAATTGGCCTACAGGCCTTATAACTGCCACTTGATCTGTTGCTGCTACTACATCGGACGATGGACTCCTGCACGAGTCTGAAAGCTCAGGACAATAAACAAAGTGTTCCGGTGATCGACTCTTCCTCTTTCCTTATGCCTTTATAAGTGTTTCGAAACTGGCAAACGTTTAGATCCCAATAATTCCTGATATTTAATCGCGCAGAAGTTGTGTTATTCAGTACTGCCTTCCGGGGGGATTTACAAAAAACTGATATCCTTCTTGTGTTCTGGAGTATTCGAAGACTTTTTTGACAAGATGTTGTTTGGTCGGTTTACTAGAAGTAGCACAGTCGGACTGCGTGTACCATTGTTATTCATTAGCCTCCAAAGGCCCCTTTGTTCACTTATAGTCGCCTGCTTGAGTCGAAAAACAACCCGTTTTGGCAGAAAAGTAAGTTCTGATTCTGAAGAATGCCCGCACAGGACTCTGATTGCTGCTTTGCACACACCGTATCAGCGCTTGCGCCCAAACATAACAGGAAAAAAACTGTGGAGTTTGAGATAGATTACTGTGAAATGATTTTATTTTAACAATAGCAAAATGCTGATGCATGCTTTGTCTCCTCCAGCCAATTTGAGTTTAACGATCTTTTCTATGCCAAGCATGAGCCAGAAAACCTCTCGGAGGCTGCGTCCGTTGCAAGACGATCAAGTAAACGTAGCGCATGTAATAGCCACGGCGTGTCCTCGCGCGAGTGAAGTGGTGGATGTTGGGAGACATACTTGTCATAAATGCCGCTAAAAGTAAGTCCTGTAAAGTATAACATTCGGTGGGTGAACGCTTCATTGATTGCCAGAACTAAGTTGGCGACAGCCTTCATATCCTTCACGTCCAAGTATCTGCTCTGCGTAATTTTAGGCCAAAAGTTCACTGGGGATTGGGCGAAACTTTCCTCCTAAACCGAAAGATGAAATGGAGACGGAATTTCAATCAGAAGTTATGTTGCAACATCTTTTTAAAGTCGATTTATTTGCAGCGAACTTGCTGTAACAGAAAAATGCACATATTGCACCGATCTTCTGTCGCGATGTATTTTAGAGTAGAAAAGTCGCCATCACACTTTTAAAGACAGTATTATGTAAAACATATACGTTACTGAAAACAAATTAGTAACACATTTATTTGGAGTTTAATATTGTGTGTGCCTTTTCAATCGGATCTTAGAAGTCATTGTGTATTGTCTTTAAATAAGCTGAACTATGAGGGATGTTTTCATCCGTTTTTCTCTACCTTGCCTAAATTATGTTTTCGACAAAGTTACAGGAAAAGCGGATTCAAACGTCTTCCATCAAGTCATTGCTTTTATTCATCTCGTAAAAAATGTACTTTCCGTCAAATTAAAATGATCGCTCGTTCATTTTAGTCGGCTGTTTTATAGGAAAATTTGTAGTTCATAACTAAAATTGCTGCAAAAGTTTTGACAACCTAGTATGCCTTTAAAAAAAGAAAACCAACACGATAGTCCCAAAAAGTAAATTGAGCTCGATACATTCATCCTTTCTACGTCGTACTCACTCAAGCTTTATTTGCGAGGTGACGGGTTATGCGATCGCTGTATGTTGTCTAGTCGTAAAAGTGAAACATAGCGAACATTTTGAATGAAAATTATATCCAACAGTTCCAGTGCAAAATGCGCTTTCATATCTATCCTATTTTGGCCGATGCATTAAGGTCAACTAATCAGTTAGTTCAAGCTGAAAATCCCTGAATTTTCCTTACGAATGGTTTAACCTCCTCTCCAAACTTCTCGCATTATTAATATAAAATTAAATAGGAGAGTCTAATTTTTATGTAAAAGGTTTGATTCACAAACGAAAACTAGTCAAGGATGGCTCTAAAATATTTTCAGTTTTACTATTAAAACACCAAAATTGCAGCTTACCGAGTGCACCAGTTGAACACTAAATAGTGAAAGCGTAATATTGCATGAAACTTCGATTAAAAGGGTTTCATGCACGGACTTCACAATATAGCACCGATGTATTACTGCTTCAGATGATATTCCCATTCGGAAATCAATTTGGCTTATTTCACTGGACGATATTTTTCTGCTGAAAGTAGAAATTAACCGAAGTCGATCCTTCAGGATATCTACAAGATGAATGATTTCTCCGGTACGTGGGCAGAACATCCGGGTCTTGAATTCGTCTTGTACTAGGGGGTTAAAGTGGATTTAAGTTGTGTGTAAATAAGACAAGTAATATCATCGAGCAGTTTAAAAAGGCAAAATATTTCACAGTTGCTGCATCCTAACATATTGTCATAAAGGAGCTTAAATATGACTACAGATTACTCCTGACATAATTTTTTCTGTACAAGAATGCCAAATATCAACAACCACTGCATGATTTACTTCTACCGAAAAAATTGTCCACTCAATGCATGCATATTTGAATAGCATAGGCACAAAGTAACAGATATAGGCAGGGAAGTCTTACAATCTGCGATTTTCTAATATCTAGTTGTCCAGCCTTGTACGCTCTGCGTAGTTTGTTTTAAGTTTGTGCGCCTCAACCCTCCACATGTAATACTGCGAAATTACAATGCTACACAAATAATCAAGTAAACATATACATTCATATTGTTGACCGAAATCTATTCACATAATAAATATCGATTTCAACCAAACTCACCTCTTCCAAGCTTATGCACGCAAGCATTTATCTGATGCAAATGCACAAGTAATCCACAGAGTGTGGGTACTCTAATACCTTGCATCCTCGTAACTACTCTATGTTGGTCTCTTTCCGTACACTGCATTGTACTTATATATACATCGAACCAACAAATGAAAACTAAGCGGCATTTCAAAACTTGCCGTTTACTTGACGTCAGCATTTACGGGGAAATACCACAAACTGATTGCTCCAATTATTTTTTAACATCAACGGCGTTCAGGCGGCTCTTTTCATCTACATTCGTTTCTGACACGCGCGACCGATAAAAGGCTTAATTTATTCCAAATTCAAAGCAATTGGTGCAGTAAATATCATGAAAGTAGGCCATTTTCTTGAAAAAAACCCAAAGCGCCTTCAGATGTAATGTGTCAACTGTTTATGATCGTCCAGCATGTTATATTATAGTTCAACCCAGTACATATTCTTGTCACGGTCTATTGCGGCGTCAACAACTTTGACCTACTAGCAAGTTTAGCAAGGAATTTTTCATTCCGTGCCTTCGTCTCCAGATCACTTATTTTCTGGCGATTCAATTATCGCTATGTACCTCGCAATTATTTTGGAATATTTCACACATTTCTTTAAGTGTAGGACTGCTACAATAAAATTATTCCGAAGGTCTTCACTCTTACAGTTTAAAATACCATATCAACTAAAAAGAGTTGATGTCCAACTTAGTTTCTGAATTAAAAAACGCATGGCCATGCATTTTGCGCGCTATAAATTGCATGGTTTTGTCTTCTACCTCCACACAATCCAGGTTCTAACATTGCATAGCAAATGACAGTTGTCCTTTTAACTATTTCAGACCTGAATGATAAATCACTGCCTTTGAAAACATTAGTATTTGCCATCTTTATTAAGCCATCTTTCTTTGGTAAACATAGCTTTTTCAGCAGAGAACGAGGATAAGATTTTTCCCATGCGACTATTTTGCAGACACAAGCATCATGTCAACATAATTTTCCGTTAATTAACGAGGATTATCCATGCCTTCTTAATACCTCATTAACTCAGATACTCAGTCGAAATTCCCGCAAGCAGATGTGCGAATTAAAAGAATAAAGATAAACCTATGCTGAAGACATTTGTTCCCCTATGACGACAGACGCCTTCGACCCTGACATATTGTCAAAACCATCAGTTTCACAAGGGACCAAATCCAATGTGCAACCCCTTCCGTATCTTGACTTTAAAGTACTTTACAGAAAAAAGCAACGCATGTAAAACAAAAAACCTCTTAAATGTACAATCGTACGACAACATACTAGTAAGTAAGGCCCGCGGAACACGGGATTAACAGCTATATGAACTTAGCAGCGTAATCCGAACCTAGTTACAAAATTGCTTTCGAACAAATCTCAATTTCGCAAAAAAACCAATGCGAGCGCGGAGATAAAACCAAACTTAAATTTTATATTCCTGTTCGATCATTGCGGAGGACGGTTCCAACCAAAAACATGGTGGGCGCAGGGACGGTGGCTTGCGCGTGAATGCGTTTATGGTGACAGGGGACTTGCGCAGCGCCAACCGCACTCAATCCCCCCTCACTCTCCTGAGCCCTGAGTCATGACACAGTCAAAAAGACGGACTGACTGACAAAGCTGAAGACTACATCCGCGGGTGCCACGTACGCCTGGTCCGCGCACTGGGGACCAGGTTTTCATTAAATCAAAAAAACGAGGCGACTCGGATCCCAGCTGAGTGAGAGTGCCGAAGGGGCCTTGTTAAGATGACACTGCAGCCTAACTCCCCATCCTGGTGGAGGACCGAGTTATCCTTCCGGCTAGCAGTCTTCGAAACCACGGCTTTTAGCGCACCGTGATAGACTAACGCGCGCCAGATTGTTTATAGTGGGAAAGATGCGCTGAGCGTCGTGGGAGCCGACTCCAAACAGTCGCCACACTCTCACTTCCCTCTCCCAGACACCAGTTCAGTGTGCGATGCGGCCAGCCATCTGCTGCAGGGGTTGGGCGCAGGGGCTGACGGAGCTAAACAACCCGTCTGCGCGTGCCACACACACGACCTGGTGGCCCTCGCAGGAAGCCCGGCCTCCACATGAAAGGAGTAGCCTCCTCAGGGGTCACATGCATTAGAGTGCCACGGTGCCAAATGGGGAAGGAGAGAAAGAACATGTTTTTCACTTACATGAGAGTGTCCGCGGAGGGTGATGTGGGACGATTTCGTGTGTGGTGTCTGTGTAGGTGATGAGGAGATGACCAGCGGTTATTTGCTGCAGGTTCTCGTGGATGCAGTGATGGTACTGTCAGCTTTCGTCGCCCCGATAGAGGGGGTACGGATTTGGTAGTGTTGTTGATGGGAGAGTTGTCAGATGTGTATGATGGACTTTGCGTGTCGATATTGCGGTGAATCCTGCTGCAATGGATGTGCACATGTCCTTATAGACCAATGCGGTTGGCTGATGTACGTGGGCAGTGTGGGTAACTAAATCGGATGCGGCGAGTTTTTATTGGAGCACCAGGCATTAATTCGTTGATCTCAGTACGATGGATCCGTAAGTGGCCTACTAGGCCGATGCGTGATATGATGCTGCAGCCGCAATGAGAGCAGGTCCGGATCATATCTACGTCGCAGCTTTGGCATTTCTCTTATATTTGAAGGGCAGGGAAAATCATGTCGATTGTTTCACTGTGTCGTCTGAATACACACCAGCTCTCCAGAAAAACGTTCGTGTTTAAGATGGCTATTGAGATGATAGGTAAGGATGCTAGCGAAGATATTCCCGGCAGTGTTAGGCGATGAGATTCATCTGAGATTATCACAAAATTGCCGGCTACACTTTCACCTGTAGAGATAGACGATTGTCGCCTTCTTGAAATTCTAGGGAACTTGTCCCTACCTCCACATCTCTTGGAAAACTGATGTTAATTTGTCCATCGGACTCAAAGGGTCACGCTTGTAGACATTAGGGGGGACTGCGTCGGATCCCCGGGCTTTCCTGTCGAACAGCTGGTGTGAGGGTTTGATTGGTTTTGGGAGGGAGGATGAGAGATCCACGGCATTAAAGGTTCCAACCTGGGGGTGGGGGGATCCGGTCGATGGTGGGGTCGGAGACCATGGATGGGCGGCTGGGGAAAGTTTTTTATGTACTCAGGTTAGAGCTCCAGTGGCTGCAACTTCACCAAGGGAAATGCCGTTGCTCTGGAGCCAGGCAGCAGTGGGGTTCATTGGGCGTGGTGAAAATAAACGTCCTTGATGGAGACGGGGAAATTCTTCGTTTTATTGCAGTAAGCGATTTCCTCTGCCTTGTGAGTCGTCCACGCATTTTGTATTTTCGACAGCCGTTGTTGCACAAGGCGAGGACATTTCTTGGGCCGGTCCGGCGTCTATCCGGGTTTTCTGCGGTCTTCAGAAGACCCCTTGACAGCACACGTTTACCTTCGATAAAGTCTCGTCAAGCCAATACACTTGTATGGGAACTGCATGTCAGTAGTTAGATAAATTAATTAATGTTCGTCTTAAAACGCAGGGGGTGTAGGAATGTGGAGGAAGAGAGGGGAGTGTAGTAACAGTCACTGCCAGGGATGAGGTGGGAGCGAAAGGACGCGCGGAGAGTTGCATGGTCAGTCGGCTTTTCACCACGGTAGGGGCAGAGCCAGAACGTGGTTCCTCTGTGCACACAAGATCGGTTTTTTTACCCTGATGGCGGCCGCTTCCGTTGTTACTAACAGACGCTGGCGCGCAGAAGAACCACGTTCAGGCCTCCCACAAACCGTGGTCAGGCGTCAACTGACCATGCAACTCTCCGCGCGCCCTTAGGCCCCAAACTAATCCCTGGCATTGGCTGTTCTTATCCCCACCCTCCTCCCCGTGTTTCAAGATGAACTTTAACAGATTTCTCTAATCACTGACATGGTTTTCCCTCTACTCAGTTCCTATATAAATGTACGGGCCTGACAAGAATGTATCGAAGGCAAGCGTATGCCCGCTAACTGGTCTTCTGAATACTGGCATGAGAAATTTCGTAACTTTTCACAGTCTGTTATTTTTAGCGATTAGATTGTTGAGTTCTGCGTTGTTATCGCCAGAGTGGTCCGGTATTGATGAATTCGGCGACCGAGGACGTTGAAGGCGGTGGAGTGGATGACTTAGCGCAGTTGACACGACGTGCCTCCACGTTGACGTTATCCTCTGGAGCCTTCAGGTCTTCCAGTTGCTGGATGTTGATGAGGGGAAAGGGATGTTTTGCGCAGGCTGTTAGAAGGAGGAGGACATATTCGTTGCAGCCAGCGATTCCACGCGGACCCGGCACTCCTTCGCAATTACATTGGACGACGTGGGCATTTAAACCACCAAGGACCATCAGCATGTCCGCCAGGAGGACGAGCAGGTCTTCATAAAACTTTTTCCTCTCCTCATCGGAAGTGGACGCTGTGGAAGCCTAGGCGCTGACGAAGCTGACGAATCTGACACACCGGAGACGTAGGCTCAGACTCATGAAGCGGTCGTGGACGCCCTGTCGTCTCACGATGACGCCCGCGTTCAGCCTCTCTGCCTTGGGGCGACCACTCCAGAAGAAAGTGTGTCCGGAACCCACCTCCTCCAGTTGGCCTTGTTCGGAAAAACGGCCCTCGCTGAGAGCAGCGATGTCCATCTTATAGAGCGCCAGTTCTTGAGTGACTAGCGCGGTCCTCCTTTCCGGACGATTGCACCATGGATTGTCTAAAAGGGAGCAAAAATTCTAGGCTGCCAGGGTAGGTGGAGTAACTTTAGCAGGGGAGGGGAGAGGAGAAGGACGAGAGTGGCTGTTTGTTTGATTGTTTCGATCGTGATTTATACATTTGCGGGTCACGGTCAACGAGTAGATGGCTTGGTCCTATCTAGGGCTCCCTTTCTAACCCCATTGTTCGTGAGGGGTAAGCAGTGTTGCTCCTAAGTGCGACAAGCTCGGCAGTGCACAAGGAAACTATTCTGCGTACCACGTGGAAGTGTTTTGCTTGAATACCACTTCGCAACTATTATTTTGGATAGGAGGGCTCGAACCTTACGAAAGAATTACTGGTTAGGTCGCAGTGGGTAGCCAGGAATGAGCAGGCGGACATCCAGAACCCTGTGGTATGGGAACAGTGGGAAAGGAGGTTATATGGGTGTGGTAAATTGAAGGACTGGTAGAGGAATGCTGGAGTTTCTGGGTAAAAGCAAAGTTACCAGGGAAAGTGATGGGGAGGTTTAAGTGGGTAGAATAATGGCAGAAAATTAAAGCCTTCGCTCAACCCTGAACTTTAACCCTGACCAGAAACCGAAAAGCATAACCCTAAGTCTAAAAACCGAAACGTAACCAAAATCCTAAAACCTTATGCTAGCCCAAAACCTAGCCATAACCCTAACCCTAACCTTAACCCTAAACCTAGCCCTAACCCCAACCCTAACCTTAAACGTAACCCTAACGGGAACCTAAAACCTAACCCTAACACTGAAACCTGACCCTCAAATGCAAACGCTAATCCCAAAACTTAGCCTGCGTCTAACCCTAACCCTCACTAAACCCAACAGCCTGACCGAAACGGCCGACCTGCCTAACTCACTAGAAGCACACCTACTGATAACAAGTTCCCTAGACAGGGTAAACACGCCTAATGGTGACAAGTACGCACGTCGACAGTATCAACATATAATATCTGGCCACCAGCTGCGATCTTATTGAATTACTTTCTGCATATCTGGGAAAACTTTTTACATTTATAAATTCGTCAGAAAGCTGGGTCAAACACGATATGCTTCTCGGCGCAGTTTAGCTGTCTAAAGAGCTGACTTGCGGGTAAACTATGACGTTAGAAAACAAAAAGTTTAAAAATGTTAAAGATCAGAAGTCATCTGGAGCTCTCCAGACCTATAAACGGCTCAGTCGCTTTTGACTAACCTTCCAATAACCCTAAAGAAATAGGAGCACTTTTCGCTCACTGCATTTCAAAAGCATCATGCTTCATTACACACAACCAGAAGTATTCGTTAATCTCGAAATCGAAAATATTCGCACGCTCTTAGTTTAATCTTTAAGAGGCTCCTAGCAACTTTACGGCCATAACATGACCAGTACCGGAAGTCCGTTAGAAGGAAAACATGCCGGTGACAAACGCCCTAGGGACATTAGAAAACTGTTATAAGGCGGCTAAAGTCGTGACTTCTATGATGTACGCTACAAAGTAGGGATTTGTAATTTTGATGAGGGCGGTTACTCCAAACGTTCGGAAAGGCCGCGTCTTGAGTGCACGATTAGGGCCTGGAGATCCTAGACGGAGCAGGAATACAGTCTATTCGAAAGGGTCCGACGGGGGGCCACCAAATTAGTTCGAGGTCAAGGAGTAGTGACATGCACGACTCGCCAGACTAAACCGACTCTTTACCGCCTCAACTATGGGTACGTGCGCGGAGATCTGGTCCAAAGCTTCCTCCAACTTGACACTACAACTAATCTCCCGGAACACCGCTTCACACCACATGTGCTCGAGGGCAAATTTGTTGTAAGAAAGTATTTCTTCGCAAACCGTGTAGTGGAGCCGTGGAATAACTCGACCGATGCACCCGTTATGTCTCAGTCTGTAGAGACACCCAAAGATCGCCTTGACGGACGCCTGCTGCAGTGTGTGGCTACATAATCATTTGTGTGGAATTAAGTTTTTTTCACTCTCTGCTGCATTTTTCACATATTCGGGTTTGTTTTTCTGATTTTTATGCAGCAAGTAGTGAGTTCAAACGCTTAAGAGTCTATTTTCTTCACATACACTGAACTGGAAAAAGGGACTGCTTAGACATCCCAGACGGCCGCTAAACCCTGCTTTGGGACACGATTTTGTTCATTGGAGGAGTGACCAGAGTAAGTCTGGATAGCTTAAGCACCTGCATGTCGCCCATCCCTCATGAACCTTTGAAAGTGGAGACGGGGACGAATGAAGAATGAGAGGGGGAGCAGAATTATCTGTTATGGGGAAACCCACAACACCCGATACCCTCATTTGGTCGGGGCGGTCTCTGAGGTGTGGATGTTAGGCAGAGCCCTGGATGAGGGATTAAGTTCTGTGTGTAACAGTCATCGCCTGCATGAATTAAGTTGTGCGACCTTTCCACGGTTTAAACCCTAACCTCACACTCTAGACTACAGTTCTGACTGGCATATACACACACGTTAACCACATTCGCATTTGGAGGCATAAAACCAACGAATAAAACACGGCTAGCTGGCCCAAAAATACTGGTGTATTATAACCAAAAAATTCCATAGCTGGAAGTGAGTTAAAAATACCTGCCAAATATAATTCCCATCCATAAATTAGGTTTAAAGTTTTCAACCATCATTAACTCGATAACTGTCGCAGAAACCAGGCCCAAAATTCCGCAAGTAAACCAGCTTCAAAGAGTCCATGGAAGAAAACATTAACCAAAGGATGAATTTTAAAAATTGTTAAAAGTACAACAGTTTGAGAGTAATTACATATTAGCATAACAGACGCCACACTAGTTTCGCAGCACAAAAACCACATCTGGAAAGTTTATGCGGCTAACCCACACATATGCGTTGTTCTCTATCCGAATGAAATGAAGTAGATAGTCTCGGCAAATAAGGACAGACAACGGAAATCACATCGAATTCCGCAAACAACAACGTCCACAGCCTGCTTTACGTAGTGAACCCGGCTTGAACGTGAATTGGCATATAGCGAAGCAGATTCGTCCAGCTCCTACCACTCGCTATCTTCCTCTGATGGCAGGGCGATGTCAAGACGACCGGAGATGGGCGCGGATGCAGTAGCTGACAAATCGAGACAGCCCGTTTACGCGTGCCTCGCACGCGACCCGGTCTCCACAACGCGTACCGCGATTTTATGAAGGTGGCTCAAGTCTCGCACCAGAGTGCCATGAGCCCGACCCTCAGTTCTGAGAAGGACCGTATTCCCCGTGAGTTTGCGCAGGTGGTTTAAGCGAATGGTAGTTTTACTAATTGTGCAATGAAACCGTGAGAAGACCGAAATATACTACTTGCAGAGGTGTCGTCCTACTGCGTATTATCCATTAAAAATAAGTACAAGGCACTGTTCGTCCAATTTTGTTTGCGGACGAATAACATATGCCATCACGTGCCACACAAATTTTCTGCACTGAAAGACCTTCGACCCGATGCATGCGCATTTTAATGGCGTAGGGGTGCAGAAGAAGCATTGCTGCAATCCAGGATTCCTTAAGGTTTAATTTTCCAAATTAATTAACTCGGCAGTGTTTGTTTTAAATCTACACAACTCAGTCTGACTCATTTAACAAGAGGAAGCTAAAAAAGGAACAAATAATTATTTAAGCAACCAAATGTAGTTACAGTCAGTGACTGAACTCCTGAAATGGTTGCAGAACTTCGGAAATTTGGCATCGATTAGGAAGGATTACCCAAGTTGGATTGTAATAATGATTATTAGGTCGACTAATCGGCGCACTTTATGCACAATAAACAATCCGAGGCGTCTGATGCTACCACGGCGCGCTAAAAGCCGTGTCTTGGAAGGCCGCCAACTGACGGTAGAACTCGGACCTCGCAGTCAGCCCAGTGGGTGTTGGCGTGGAGTGGCTGATGGCGGGGCCGAGCGTCAGGCCGTAAGGGCTCCATCCTGGTGTCTTCCCTCAATTGGGATGCGAGCCTCCTCCTGTTTTGCTTATCGTGTGAAGTCTGGGTCTTTTGTTTGTGGTGTAGTGGCACGTCTGGGCGCTGGCTCACGCCGCGCCGGCCACCTGTGTTCGATCCCGCCTCCGATCTTCTTGGCTCTGTCCTGACACCGGACTAAAATAGGGGAGGAGGAGGAGGAGGAGGAGGAGGAGGAGGAGGAGAAAGTGAGGTGGACGCAGCGCAAGTATATTATCACAACAAACTAACCCACGCGCAAACCGCCGTCCCTGTTCTCACCCTACTGTGGAGCACGCGGTGGACATGGTCGAAATCGACGCTCGAGCTGTCATTATTATAAACATGCTGCTAACTTGATCATAGGGACGCCTGCCTGTATTAGCTTTGACCATTTGCTGAAAATTTTGTGTGGCGGTGCTGTCTATTTACTGTCTGCCTTTAGTTCGCAAATTCTCCACTGTTACCTTTTCCTGTTTCACTATGTGTCCTTCGTAGTTCTGATACTAGAAAGTGTCTGTAAAATATTCGCAATTTCACTACTTCACTGGGTGTAATCCCGTATCAATTAAGTGGTCGACGAGGGCAGTGGATTGGGTCGAATGTGATGATGAAACCCCACCTGAAGTAAACAAACCCCAGCAACCTGTAATACGGGACCGGAACACAACTAGTGTTGAATGAATTCATGCGTAAGTAAAATTTTCAAATTTACAACAAGCACAGTGGGATGTCTCTTCGCAAGTCGCCTGATTGCCTGGGGGAGTATACGGATAAGGGACACCTTCCAGAATTGGCGCGGACTTCGAAAGCCCCATAAAGGCCATGGGGACACGCCAAAGAAAAGTGGCAAGGAATGCGAGTTTGACAAATTAGTTTCACGCGACAGTTCAACCGTCGATTTCGACGAGGTCCACCGTGTGCTACACACCAAGGTACAGCGTGCACGGCGGCTTGCGTAGCATCTACCACACTCTCCCTCTTCCCAACTACCCACCTAGACCCGGCGCCAAAACAGGGTCAAGAGGATCGCAAGCAAGGGCGGGGCGCCGTCCAGTCCGTACCTTGGCGTTCCACTTCACACATCCTGGTCCACACGGCAAATGACCAGTTTCTTGACTGACAACAACACCCCAACAGGGGCCAGAGCGACGAGGATGACTGGACAGCCATGCACATCACCTGTATACCCAGAGGGAGTGCATACACATCTACCGGCAGGCAATCAGGTGTCAGGGAACTACCAGCGCATACTTGGCTGCGATGGCCATTGTTTGCTGATACTGGCCTAGTACACACTTACAGACCTTTCACACAGTTAACCAGGGTAAACTTTAGTCAATAATGCTACACTCTTGATGTCTGAGGCGATTGACGTATCGGAAAATGGGGTAAATCTCGGAGGCATTGGTAGTGACACGTGAGACTGTGTGATCCTTCCCACCCTCTTGCGTTCTCCATCGTGCTGATAGATGCATGTAGTGAGGTGTGACGGAGAATCAACAGGTCAACACCGGACGCACGAATGTATCCACTCGATTATCCAAGGTTGATGTGTGCAGGACCTCTTTTTCACTGAAAACTTCGTACTGAAGAGCACAACCGGGGCGAATATGCAGCAGAATGTGAGTCACCTTGCTCAAAAATTCGAACTGACCATTAGCACTGAGAGAAGACAGCGTTCATGGACCAACCGGCGCCTATTAATGCCAACAACGAGCCCACGGTAAAAATGTCTACGATGCTCTGCTCTTATCGGCGGACAGTATTGATTACTTAGTGAGCAGCACTCAGAGAAAACTCGCCTCGGTTTCCTCCTCAATGGCAGGACCGTAGTCTGAACTACGCCAGCCGCCTGTCTTGACAGCGCAAATGTTGAACCACCTTCATCACAACTGCCTGCGAAGACGGTTGTGTTTTGATTGTGATCAAAAGGTCCTTGAAATTAAGACCGCGGAAAATACGGACGTGTGGAGGCAGGTGCAACTGACGCTGACGGACGTTTATCCAACTGACTATTTTTCGGCCACGTTGTAACGCATGTTCGCAGACAAATGCGACGAATACTCCTCACAGACATCCATAAATCAACTCTGAGACAATCCTCAACAGACCTGGCTCACTTCAGTAAGAACTGGGGTCGCCACATCCGAAGCAGATGTTAAGGCAGGGTGATAGGCCTCCAAGACAGGTAGGGGGCGCTCGCCGATCGTTCTTACGGAACTCACTCGTCCCGTTTGGCCTTACGGGCTCTCTCTCGAGCCCAACCAGCAGCCGCACAGCGGCCCATGATATATAGGCAGAATGGTATTACCGACAAAGACACGGGAGACTGGAATTGCCATTTCTGGCTTATTAGTAGTCGTCAGCCCGTCATACCCAACCCCGGAAGTGTGGAACACCCGGGGCTCGAACTCGCGACCTGTTAGTTAGAGGTCCACGCCTCTAACCACTGGGCCACGAGCCCAGTGGTCAGCGCCACAAGCACTTAAATTCTGTGTACATGTTCAGGTTGCTAAGGGAGATTCGGGGTATATGGTCGTCTCGCTGGACATCTGCAGATACAGTGCAATATCAACAGGTTCGACACGTATCCCATCTCACAAAACACCCAAACCAGCAATGCAGACTCAGTTCCTACTGATACTGACTGCGAGTTTTCACTCAGGTCACGCGACGGTCTGGTCGGTTATTCACAAATACATCGCATTACGCCAGTGAACCAGTATTCGTAGGCCCAGTATGCATTCATAACGCACGCCCTGCCTCTCCTTAGTGTTCAAGGGCATTTAGACGCCTCGTGGGCCGCAGGCGCGTTCACGAAGACCCCGCTGAAGCAACACAACCCTTGCAGGAATTCTACCTAGTACACGAGCACCCTTAGCCCACACATAGACCTTTGCACTCATACGCATATGCGAGTCTCTAATCAGCGTATCAAATGCGCAGCGGCCATACGATGCAATTCGCCAGCGTCGATAGGGCGGGCGAAACGTGTTCTAGGAGGCACGGCTCTCACGTGTGGGAATTTGGGCACGTGTGCGGCACGCGCAGACGGAGGCTTCCACGCCGCCAATCACAGCGTCTGATTCTCTCGTAAGTTGGTTGGCAGTCTGGGAGAGTCGACCGGTGCGTGAGAGTAGAGAGAAGGATGTCGTCATTGGAGGGAGAGCCATCCCTATGCCAATTCAGCTCAGCCCTACCAGTTGTGGCTTCGAAAGTTGCCAGTCACCGGGGCAACTGCGTCCTACTCAGGAATGAGTATCGGACTGCCTTCAAGACACTTCCACCTGTTCGAGGTCTGAATGCCATTGCCTAAAGGAAGCATACCACGTGCTGGCATCGAGCCATATGTGGTACAAGCAGACAGTGTTTAACTGCGTCACTTATTGCGACCACGCCCATCTCTGTCCACTTTGACACCGCCTTGTCGTCGGAAGACGGTGTGACGATTTTGAAATGGACGCCGCGCAAGTTCACTCGTCGGGGATGTGATTCTAACCCATACCATAACCAACGCCAGCAAAAAGATGCAACGCATTTACCGGCAGAGACAACGTAGACTGGAATGATCACTTTTGGCATACTAGCCGCAGTCTTATCCAGGCCCATGTGTGCAGGAGCTAGGACTCACAAGTCATTGAGCGTTAAGCGGTCCAAGCTCTTCCACTGAGCTCTAGATGGGACCCAAAGGCGCAAAGAGACGAGTAACCTGTTCTGTGAACAACCTGCCGATAAAAGTTAACATCCGACCGATATCGCAACCGATCGATAGGACAACAGACCCGGGCAGGGCACAGGTGACGAAGGGCAAATAATGACGAATAGTCGCCACGCCAAGAATCAACAACGACAATGAATTAACAGCTATTAACCACTCGGGAACCGACCCACGAGCAATCATCGCATGGAGTACGGCTACCAGCGATGAAGGTAGTTGCTGCTACTCACAGTAGACATGTGCTTGCACGGCAACTGCGTCCTATAAATACTGCGCTCCTTGTGCCTCTATTACGCTTATCTGTGACGGTCTCTGATGGTGAGTTTGGGGAGAGAATCTGAAACACCAGGCCAGCAAACGTTTTGCTCCAGCGATCGCACCTTCTTCCTAACTGTCTCCTGGAACTCGCATATTCGCTTCTATCGGTTATACATACTCCTGGTGAAAACAGGCCTCGTCGAATTCGTCACACACACAGTACCTACAGGGTGAGAATCTTGCCTTTGCAAATTCCAGCTATGCACATCAATCCGTTACGCTGACACCACATTCCTCAATGCCACAATGCTCAGGGGTCCTGACGGTGGGTCCGGGGTCATAATTCTCGGCTCTAGGTATCGGTGTTAAAGCCCAACCATTGATTGGCTCATTCCCCAAAAAGAAAGACCCGGACAGAACGAGGGTAGAAGTTAAATATGTATACATATATAAAGCGAATTTCAGATAAAAAATCCCAAACCTAACAGGCGCATTTTTGGTGTCATACACCAAACAAAAAGACAGTTGGGGATCAGAAATAACAGTTATATTACAAAATAAGCAGAGAAGGATCCCAAACAGGGGGCGCTTTTTTCTACCAGTTCTTCAGCACTTCAATAAATTTGTTGATTGTGGCGTCATCCTGAAAAAAAAACAGAAAACGACGATAAACTTGGAGATAGGAATCCACACCTCTCCCTCTCCTCCCACAACATCGTGGTTCGCGTCGAGTCATTAACTCGACGACGGGTAGTTGAACCTGTGCGGGGATTGCTCGGTCTAGTGTCCCTTTTTTCTTCCCTCTCAGAGGACTTCGTTGTCGGGCTGTGTCTGCACGGCTTCCTTAATTCCGTGTGGTCTTCGCGTCCTAGTCTTTGTGCACTGAATGCTTTGATAGTAGTGGGCCGACCAGGCTCTCCGAAACATCACTAGGTCAATAAATCCGCTCCGATAAGGCCGTCCCTTCTCTCTCTCTGAAATTATCAGCTCGGATCTCTCAACTTTGCCAATCCGCGCATAGTCTATCCAAACAGCATGGCTTTCTGAAATTCTCCTCCTTTTTGGATAGGCAAACGCCAGTAGTGTGAGTTCTATCCCAAACCCTGGGCATGCCCAGCTACCTGAAACAGGTGTCCTCATGTCTTTCTACTGACGACACATGCTCACGCGTGCGTGTCAAGGCGACTAAGTAAGTTGTATTGCAGGAGACTACTCCTCAGAGACCTTTCAGTATACGACTCTTTCCCAGTAGAAATACTCAACACTAACCTCCGGGTGTAGAAGTCGGATGTACGGCGTAGGCAAGAGCTCGTGCTCAACTTGTATTCGCAGCCCTGTCGGGTGCCCTAATGCAAAATGACTTCATAAATTCCCTGATTTAGGCGTCTTTTTTGTATTTATCCCCTTCTTTCGACTACTCTTGGGTTGTTGTGTATCTACGTGTGAAATCTCGAAGGGTTCTATTTTGAGGAACCATGCGTAGCAAGTATTTTGGTTGAACGTTCTAAGGAAGTTTACGGCTACTCAAACAGCACACTTATTTACCCTGAAAGGACATTGGAGGAAGAAGGGCTCACCAAATGAACTCTAATCGCATCAGTGGCAGCGTGAACAGTAGTGAGTTGTAGACCTCGAACTCATCAAATTTTCTGAGGACAACGATGGGGTGTTGGGCCCCAAACTAATTTGAGCTAGCCTGTGCACCGTGTCATACGTTGAATGGTGGTATAGGAGGTTTTACGCGTGGGGCAACACGCAGGACGGAGAGCCAGATGACACCCTACTGTCACATTTTGAGTATGAAAATTAAAGATAGGGCAAGTGTGCGTGTGCGTGTGTGTTCCCCCAAAACGGGCCACGTGGCAGATGCGCTGGACCAACACGGGGGCCAGGCGTTATCGGATTTGCGCACCATAATAAATGCCAACATTCCGGGGAGGTGCGGTGGTAGATCCGGTTGCGGGCAGATATCGCGCATACTGGGACCCCTGCCGCTCCCCCCATTGTTGTTGTTGGTCAAAAAACCTGGTCATTTGCTGTGTGGACCAGGGGATGTGGAGTGGAACGCCAAGATGCGACCTCGACTGTGCCATCCACCTGTGCCCTCCCCCCACCTCCGGTCTCCTTGACTTTGTCTTGACACCGGGTCCAGGTGGGGGGCGGGGAAGAGTGCGGTAGATGCTGCGCAAGTCCAGTATCACTATAAACTAATTCACGTGAAAGTCACCGTGCCTGCTGCACCCTGTAGCATACGGTGGACATCGTCGGGATCGACGATCGAATTGTCGTGCGTATGTGTGTGCCAGACAAAGGAATATTAATAAAAAAAGTGGGTTCTCACCTTAATTATGCAGAATCTGAGGTAATTCTCGAAGAGGGGTTGGTGCTTTGTGCAACAGAAGGCGGTGGGCGGAACTGCTGCAAGGCCCTTATACACCATCATCCACTCATTTATAATGACATCCTTCGTCCTCTGGTCCCGAGATTTCGACGAGTTCAAAGGCAGGGCTGGATGGACGGACGCGAAAGAATGAGGAGATGCAAGCCAAGGAAATGCCAATTCAAAGGAAGAGGACTAACTAGCAAAAAAATACTTGTTGGTCAGTCGGTTTATGCAAATCCGCCAAACGCACCCATTCAGAAAGTGAGTCTAGTAGACATCTGGTGTAGTCTTGATTGATTGGTCAGGAAAGCCTGCTTGGGCAGTCAGCTTAGTGTATCAAGATTGATGGACGCTATGCGTTGCAGTAGGCGGTGCGGGTGACTCGACTCGAGCGTAATTAAACTAAGGGCTCCCGATCGGGGCCTTATAGCTCGGGTGGTTAGAGCGTTCGCTAAACCTAAGCCCCGGCAATTGATGTTGTAGATTTAAATTCCACCGACGCCACCAAGCTGTTCACAAAAGGGTCTGTTAAAAAAAAAACAAAGAGACCGGGGCATGCGGAAATCTACGATCCTTCCTAACGACTGCGATGTTCTCCGAGGTTTCATTCTATCCCCTCACCTTTTCTCCCTCCACACTGACGACCTAAGGTCCCCCAATGACTGTCTTTTGGTAAGGTATGCTGATGATGTGGTTGTTGGACATCCTCTCAAATGTCAGATACACCTCCGGCCTCTAAAGGATGACCTAAACGATGTCCTGGCGTGGTCGGAGGAAAATAGTTTCCTAATTAACAACCAAAAATCCGTTCAGTGTATTTTTCGACTGCGGCCCACTCCTAGTCCCGAATCTTCTGACATTCTTCCTAACGAAGTATCCTCTTTCAGGTACCTCGGCGTTACTTTGTCCTCAAATCTTTCATTTTCCCTCTATATTGAGTCCCCATTTATTAAAGTTCGTAAACTTCTTTAATACATACATCGTTTACGTTCCTACCACACACCTCAACCTTTAGTCTGGCGATTCATCGATGCCTGCATTCTTCCTCTTATCCTATACTGATCTCCTGTCATTTTTCCTGCTTTGCTTAAAAAGGATATTTTAGTGTTGAAACGAGTCCTCCGCATGCTTTCTTCTGCTGCTGGTGTTTCTTATCTTTTGTAAGTTGACACTACAACGGCATTTCAATGCGGTCAAGCAATTTGCTGATCGGATTATAGATGACGTTGCCCATCCCTTGCATCCTGATCTTATTTCTGCGAGGTCTTCTCGCCCGATGCGTCGCAGATTCCAAGTATTGTCATGTCGCACATCGGCTTATCGAGCGTCTGTATTGCCATTCCTAGCGCGCTATCTTACGTGCGAAGAGATAGAAATAGAGAAGCTAGGACTTGAACTATCCTCATAATAATCGTTTTTTGTGTTAAACTTTGACTATTGAATAATCTACTAACTTATTTACTGCCCATAGTGAATGGAGCCAATTTTTTTGCTGAAAATTTTGAATTATGATTTCAAAATAAAGCGACTTCCTCTCTCCCTCCTCTCTCCAAAAAACAAAGAGACCGGGGGGAGGCCGATTCCCGTCGACACCAGTTAGGTCAACAATCGATCGCCTGCGACTGACGCACAGGCCTCGGCTCAGACTTGTAGGGACGAAATGCGACGGCTGGGTCATTTGTCGAACTGATAAGTAATCAAAGGACTTACTGGCTACCACGGGGGGGCAAGAACCGATAAAACTGGGAGCAGGCATGCGACTTACGTATTTTTTCAATGCTGGCTAAAAGGAAATAGCC